GTGTCGATCCTTCCTAATGAGTATGGTTTTTCATCAGAGGCATCTAGGGACAAAGAGGAAGCCATGTGTGAAGAATCAGCAAGCCAGAAACCTCTATGCTACTATGTCATGAATAATGGGGTGGTCAAAGAACAACAGGCAATGTTTGAGAAGCCTACATCTGATAGAATTTACCATCTCAAGCCTTTGTTTATAAGGGCTAAAGTTGAAGGTTTCCCTGTGAATAAAGTGTTCGTTGATGGTGGTGATGTTGTGAGCTTGATGCCACAATCATTGCTGAAAAGGATTGACAAGTTCGAACCGACCTCAAACCACATAACATGGTTTTGTCAAACTATGAAGGGAAAACAAGTCATATACTAGGTGTGATTCAAGTAAATTTGTCAGTTGGCTCGACTTCAAGGCCAACATTGTTCATGGTGATTGCATCCAAAGCAAACTACAACTTGTTTCTAAGGAGTGAGTGGATACATGGAATTTGGGAAGTACCAAGGACTCTGCATTAACGTTTATCCATATGGCGTCAAGATGGGATTATAGAGAACTTTGAGTCAGATCACAGTTATTTTACTGTTGATGTGGGTATGGTCAATAGGAAGAATTTTGGCAAAGCCTTAGCTACCATACCTTCGTGCGATTCTGAAGATGCAGCGTTCAAGTCACATCCTGATGCGATCAAGTTTCTAACCCTGCACCCTACTCATGGTTTCATTTGGGACCAAGAAAAGATGGATACATATCCAACTATAGAAGGGGAGTTTGAACCCACTGGGTGGGAAGAACAAACTCATAATGATGCCTGAGTCGAATGCTCTGGCAAGGATTTCGGCCTATATATCCGAAAGCAGGATAAAGCTTGGAGAACCAAGCCAAACAACAGCTTCAGAAATCCAGAGGCTTGACTGCATATATGAAGAAGAGCCTTTGGGGTTTGAAAAAGAGCCGAGAGAGAATATTTTGAAGATGCGAGCACAAGATCCATTGGAGGAAGTTGATCTGGGTGATGGTGCGATTAGGCGAATTACATACATCAGCACTAAGATTGACAACATGATGAAGGATCAAGTAATCGAACTGCTTAAAGAATTCAGAGATTGCTTTTCATGGGATTACAACGAGATGCCTGGTTTGAGAAAGGGAGATGGTGAAAATTAGACTACCTATAAATACAGGCAAGAAACCAGTCAAACAAATGCCAAGGAGGTTCGCACTAGAAGTGCTATCCAAAATCAAAATAGAGATCAAACGGTTGTTGAAGAGCAAATTCATCAGGACAGCCAAGAGATTTTCTAGGTTTTGTAGTACACAAGAAGTGTGTAGAGATTAACCAGAACAAAACCAATGCAATTTTGAGTACAAAAGCGCCAACCACAAAGAAAGAGCTCTAATATTTGTTGGGAAAGATAAACTTCTTGAGATGATTCGTATCAAACATGAGTGGAAAAACTTTGGCGTTCTATTTGTTAAAACTAAGCAAAAAGTCTGAGTTCATGTGGGAAAGAGAACACCAAGAGGCATTCGACCATTTGAAAGACATACTTGGAAAGCCACAAGGCCAAGAAGGCAATGTGCTCTTCGTCAGACACAGTGTCGACATATTTAGCGTGAAAACGCTCCATATATTCGGTGAAGCCAACAATGTATTTTCCAAAAGGGATGATCTTTTCGTCTTCTTCAGTGGGAAAGAATGCTCCACCTGTGGGGAGGAGACCAGTGATGTCCGCATTATCAAACAGGGTAGGAGTAAGCATCCCAGCTTCAAAATGGAAAGTATTTGTGGAGCCTTCCAAGAAATAAAGTGTAGAAATCGGCATGTGATTGCAATAACTTGGGCCAACCCTAGAAAGCTGAATCAAGTCAAAAATGTCTTGGGCCTTCCAAACGTCACCTTTAACTTTCTCCACTTTATTCAACTATGCAATGTAATCTTGGTTAACAACATGAGCAGAGTGAAAGACTTTAGATGTCCGATAGATGTGTGAAAAATCTATAGGACAATCTATATTGATAGGGGTTTTGTAGTTTTGTGAGTGAGGAAGCAACTTTCCAATTGTTTAGGTGCCCTAATCTCATCAGGAATAGGCCCCAATAGAGCGTAAGCAATGTTGTTACAGGTGAAGGGAAGCAACAGTTGGGAGCAAAAAGATTGGAGATTTCGTGTTGGCGTTGGTTCCAAAACGAAGGTATTTTGATTATGAATGAAGAACTCACTCATGTAGTAAACCAGTTCAATTTCCTGGGGAGTTTGAATGTGCTCAGAGATTTGGCTTGAAGCGACCATGAAGATGGTGGAAAGTTTTTTTCTGGGTAGAAATGAAAGTAAGAATTTCTTTTCTATATGAAAACAAAGAGCTTGAGTATGCAGATAAAACGTAGAGAGGAAAATGAAGAGATGAAATGGGTATTTATACCATCAAGGAAACCAAACATTTGGGAAGAAAGTGGAAAAAAGTGGCTACACGACCGACATGTGTCAAACAGGTGGCGACTGAGTTGAAGGAGTTGGTTAGTTGGGGGCTACGATTATCCTAGGAAGTTGAAGCTAGAAAGTGGGGAAGTGGCTGTGTGATCGTTGATGTAACATTTGAGGGAAAAGGTCATGATTACGATGACGTCACTTCGCACTAAGAGAAAAGGATTAAAATGTCAATTTCTATTCTTTCAGTCGAAAAGGACATTTTGGGGGGCAATTTGTTGTCTAGGATTTTCACAAAGGGTTAAAATCCAACTAAAAGCCAAAAAGGTTCTTTGAGAACTTTGAATTATAGGAAGTCGACCGTGAGAGATTTCACAAATAGTCAATTGGGCTTGCGGACGCAGTCGACCAGAAAAGAGGCCTCATGAGGAATGGATTGGGCCCAGGAATGTTAAAAATCCCAAAGAGTACATAACTAGCAAAGCAAAGTGTTATAGATGGAGAACGTGGATTCGATAGCAGGGACGGAGAACGTGGGTTCATGGAGGGAAGTTACAAGAGACATGTGGCTTATAAAGAAGCGAAACCCGCTGAAAAGTAGTTATTTTTTGTGTATTATACATAAAGCACTTAATGCATAGTGCCAGGGGTTCAAACTTTCACATTCCTACACGCTAGTCACTCAGAGTACCCAAGCGAACGAGCGAAATGAGTCAAGCTAGGGAAATGTACGTTTGAATCAACCCATTTTCAACTACTTTGGTGTTATGTCATCTATTTTTATAGTTTAAAACGTCTTTTGTTTTATTTTACAAGTCCTACTTTATTGCTTTTAAATTCGTTTCGTCTTAGTTGAATGAATCCTTTTGAACATACTTTGTGAAAACACTCGAAAACTGGAGCACTGTACTGAGATTCCCTTGTCGATCTCGCCAGTAAATTTTTTGTTAAGAGACCAGCGTTGTTTGCCAAAACCAGAGGTAACAGCTTGTTATTGCTACCACCGTCTATAAAAATTGGATTTGCATTTGCGAAAGTCATTCTGGATCTTTAGGAGTAGGTTACCTATAACCTGCTCTGATGTCAATTATAAGTATGGAATGCACCTAAGAGGGGGTGAATTATTTACTTAAAAATTTTCTTGGTTTTTAGAGATAAATTATTTTATTTTTTCGATTTGAGGTTAAGTGATGAAAGCGATAAAGTATAGAAAAATAAAGAATACGAAGAGATTATACTAGTTCCTCTCACAGTTCGAGAGTGCGTCTAGTCTCCTTACCATATAAGAGATTTTAATATTATTAGAATCTTGTACAAGCCTCTCGTTGTCTCTATACACAAGTTGCTAATCAAATAACTAAGGCAAACCACCTTATGATTCAACCAAGTAGAAATGAGAACAATTTTCTCCTTTTCCACTATCATGCTTCTAACAATCCTGAACAACAAAGTATCTACACCAGTCAAGTAGAAAAAGAAAATAATCTTTTTTTTTTTCATTCTCTTGTTTCTAACAATCCTGAACAACAAAATACACATAATTCTAATTTTTTATAAACAATTTAAAGATGTAAGATCTTTATCAATTACAAGAATTGATCTTTCCTTTTAAACAATTTACAATATATTACACAAGTACTTAAAATTTTATAAGGTATAAAACTTTCAGAAATGCAATAAAAATGTAAACAGTATATTTATTATTACTCTCATCAATTATTCTCCTCTCTCTTAATGACTCAAAATTTGATCATTAGTCTCATCAATTATACTCCCTACCCCACCCTCTGAGGTGGATAAATCAATGACCTTAAATTTATTATTATTCTCATCAATTATTCTCCTTTCTCTTAATGACCCAAAATTTGATCATTAGTCTCATCAATTATTCTCCCCACCCCGTGAGTTGGATAAATTAATGACCTTAAAATTTTATTATTATTCTCCTCTCTCTTATTTCACCAGAGTTAAATCCAATTGCAATTAAGCAAAGGGTTATAATTTGTAATTTGTTATTGTTTTAGGCCTTATTTGTGTCCCAAATGATTCAAATACATGTGAATGGGAGAAGTGGATTCTTAAGATCTATCAACATTTCAGTGCCCACATCATTGGCTTCCTGATAAATCTTAACAAGTACAAAACCTATTTCCATCAAAACAGCCCCCTCAACCCCAAAGAGAAAAAGGTACCCAAAACTGCATATTATGATGCTGATTGATCAAGTACTGTTTTGCAAACTTTCCAAACTAATAAACTAATTTTATTACTAATTAGATCCAAACCATAATCCAGAATATTGTACTATTAATCATAGATAAACAGATTAGACAAAGTAAAAACACCATTATGAATAAGTAAAATTTTAGTGGTATAACTTTTTCTTATCACAACAACTGCCATAGGAAAATATCCTGAAGCCTCTGAGCAAAAAATCCAAAGCCAAAATGACAGTTTCAAAATGCTAAAAACCCTCTCACCATTCTCACATACTAAAACTAGACCTAAATAAAACACATAACACACTCACTTTAAACTAAAAACATAAAATCATATCAATAATTTTCATTTACATTTTCTTCTCCTATATAGCAAGAATTTCCCAAATCAACTCAGGATCAAAAGATGGCATTCTTGCCAATGAACAATCATCAAACGCTGTTTCCTCTGTCACCATTGTCGAAACAGAATTCGGGGAATTCGAATTCTCCCCCTTCGAAACTCCGTCATCAGAAACATTAGGCGAAAAGAACTCATTCACCCAATCTTCATAGAAAATGGAAGGCGATAACGGTAACGAAGAGGAAGAAGAAGAACAAGAAGAGGAGTTAATCTTCTCTAACTCCTTGTTCTTCTTACTATCATCACTCTCTTTCTTCATCTTCTTTGCTGCAATCTTCTTAGCTTTTTCCCTTTTCACCTTCTGACAAATAGCTTGAATCTTAGCATCCACAGCACTCTTCAAAGCATTCAACTTAGTAGAATCTCCGAATCCAAGCTTAGTTGGATCTTTCAAATTCGGGAAATTCAAACGCGCGTATTCGCCTCGAAGCTTATAGGCTGCACGATCATAAGCATAAGCAGCAGCTTCAGCGGTTTCGTAAGTTCCAAGCCAAACTCTCATTCTGTTCTGAGGAAGTCGAATCTCAGCAACCCATTTTCCCCAGTGTCTCTGTCTCACTCCTCTGTATAGCTTTTTCTTCAAAGGGTTGTTCACCAAAGAAGTGAACAAACTCGAACTTGCGCTCACACTTGAATTTGTTGTTGTTGTTGTTGTTGTGTATAAAGTGTTGTTTGAAAATGAAGATGGAAAGAAAGAAGTGGTTAATCGAGTTTCTTCGTAGAATTTTTGAAGAATGTCTCTTTGACGAAGATAAACAGACGAACCTAAGGGTTCATGATTCGAAGAACCGAAGAAGTTGTTGTTATTGTTGTCGGTAGTGCTGTTTGTCGATGGAATATCAGAGAAAATAGAGTCAAGTGTGTTTGTTGTAGTTGATAAGATGAGATTTGATAAACACGATCCAATATCGGAACTGTTTTGGAACTGTGCGTCCATGTTTTCGTTAAGAAAAAAACAGAGCAAAAACTTGGTGCCTTCTTCTTCTTCTTGAGTGAGTTAAGATTTGAAGATGAGAAAGGAAGAAAATGTGTGTGTGAGAGTATGGTGGAAGTGTAAGGATTGGTTGGGTGCATTTATAGTTAGCAATAACAAGCCTTTGCTTGAATCTACTCCTTTTTCACACGCATATCTTGAAATGTATCATATGTGTGTGGCTTCGCCCAAATGACTAAAAAGTCCTTCAATGGTTAATTACGCTATTATAATTATTAAGTCACTTCACCTAGTACAAATCTGCAAATTCGAACTAATTAATTCAAAATATGAGAACAAATCATTACAAAATTAGAAATATTTATTTCAATTTTGGGACTAGTTAGGTGATGTACTAAATAAAAATTTGTTTTTACTATTTAATTAATAAGTCTTGTGATTAGATCGAATTTAATGACATATTAATTGTGGTTAGACTTTAGGTATATACAATTTTAGTGGTTCTCTATTAACCTTGTTTAAAGTGTGTTTCTCTTAATCTAAATTTTATTTAAGAAAGAATAATTAACTTACTTTACTTATGGAAATGAAATTGATACAATAAGAAAATTAACCATAATGTTAGGGTAGGGTGGGACATTAGAGTGAACCATAAAATGGGAGCGGGGACAATATTAAGATTTATACTTAATCAATCCTTAATTAAAAAAGTAGAAAGAATTAAAGTAGATATTAGAAGTCAATTGAAAAAGGAAAAGAAAAAGGGTTTTACTTAAGGGGTTAAGATTTGACTTTAAGGGTGGTGGTCCATAAAGAAGGGTCCATGTCCATGTCTTGGCGAGAGTACATGATGAAGAAAGGAAATGGCTACTTTTGCAATTTATTGCAGTGATATGATCTAGTACAACTGATGGGAAAGCCAGCAAGGTTTTTAATTTCTGTCCTACACGCGTATTTAACTTTCTCTTTTTTCCTATATGTTTTCCTTAAAATTATGTACAATGGTTTAATATTTAAACTCTTTGTACATTATGTTATCTTCTTTTTTTTCTTTCACCTAATAATTCAACACTCATTCAATTTTTATTTATTATAATAATTTTATTTAATAAAATTTAACATCATATCCCATCATTTTTTATTTCGTTTTTTATTTTCTTTTATATTTATATTTTTATGATTTTATATTAATACTATTAATTATCGATTGAAATAAAATTGAAATAATTAAGAATTAATTTTTTTTTCTTAATTTTTATTTATTATTGGAATGTGATATTTATTATTTATTTATATTATTTTACCTTTATTTATTATATTTTAATTCATATAACTATTTCACTACCTATTATTAATAAGATTATTTCAGTAAATATTACTCATTTTATCATTGAAATTAACATAATTAATCATTATCTTAAAAGTGTGAAAATCTCAAAGAAAACACTTATTGTGAGACGGAGAGAGTAATATTTTTTATAAATAACATTGTATTACGAGGAGTATAAGAGATATTCACTCCTTAATACAAAAAGGACACTAAAAAATAAAAGAACCCAAAGAACAAGCAAGAAAACTAAAAAATATATCTAGTTGGATCTACCTCCAATTCTCCTATCTCATTAGAGGAGATTTTCCAAAGAAAATTTAAAACCACTCCCAATTAGACCTCTTGATATTATCTAAACAATTCTAAGCAGTCACCTCCTCCAGCTTGAAGATGAACAAATTCCTCCCTAACCAAAAGGCCCAACACACACTAGACCAGAACAAACACGCAAACTACTTGTTGTAGACTTTTTTCTAACTGACAGAGAATGTATCGAAATGATCTACCAAGCTAGCAACCATACCGAATGATCAATGTTGAGCCAGCAACACACTTGATCCAGACAGTAACACTGAAAGAACAAGAACAGAAAAGATGAACCACATCTTCATCACAAATTGAGCACATCAAACAAACAAAACTATTTGTTCCAGCAAAGATTCCATGACTTTGCAATTTATCTTTTGTCTGAAGACAATTGACAAACAACTTCCAACAAAAAACTTGAATCTTACTAGGAAATTTAGACCTCCAAACAATTGGCAGTATTTGATTAGAGCGGCAGAAGATGGTGGTTGATAGCATGTTGGAGAACTCTTCTTCTTCTGATGATATTTCTGATTCTTGCATTGTTAAACATAATGGGAGGCTTGTGACTGATAGTAGTGGAGTTTTAGCGTCAGACTTGTAGTCTAGGGCAGAAACTTTTGGGGTTAATGGAGGGGATTCTAATCAGGTTTTTATTGATGCTATCAAGGAGTTGGAAATTAGAGATGGTGTTTCTCTGTCTCAGAAGGTCTGCATTAAACAAGGTAATTAATGACTGTTATTTCATATAATTTAAGGGGTTGTGGTTGCTCTATTAAGAGGAAATGTTTGAGTCAGATCATTAGGAAGGAGGTTTTTGAGTTGTGTTTTATCCAAGAAACTAAGTTATAAATGATCAATGAGTTATTGGTTTTTGAAATGTGTGTGTGTGTATGGGGGGGGGGGGGGGAGGGTACGGATGTTGAGTGGTCTTTTAAACCTTCGGTTGGGAGGTCAGGGGGTTACTCATATTATGGAGAGAAATGTTGTTTGTCCCTTCTTTCAGATTTTCTGGTGAAGGATTTTTGAGTATTAATGTGGCTTGGAAGGGTGTGAATATTTACGTGGTGAACGTTTATGCGGCTTGTTGTTTTCATAAGAAAATAAGTATGTAGAGGGAGTTGTTGGCTTTTAAGGAGAAATTTCTAAAGGGGGAGTGGTGCGTGGGAGGGGACTTTAATGCGGTTAAATTTGATATTGAAAGAAGAGGTTATTTGAAGTATCAAAATTTGAGAGAGAGATAGAGGAGTTTAATGGTTTTATTGATAAGATTAGGGTGGTTGATCTAGTGGCGATGGGTAGAAATTTCTCTTGGTTTAGTCTTGATGGGTGTGCTAGAAGCAATTTGGACATATTTTTATTACCAGAGAGGTTATTGGAGGTTTGGGAAGTGAATAATCAGGTGGTTAGTAATAGAGAGTTATTGGACCATTGTCCTATTTGGTTTAAGGGGAGTGTGTGTAACTGAGTTCAAAACCCTTTAAATTCTTTAATTGTTGGACTAAGCATGAGGAGTTTCTTAGTTTCGCGGAGAATAGTTGGGTTTTGGCTACCATAGAGGGAAAAGTGGTTTATTCTTTTAAGGAGAAGTTGAAGGTGTTAAGAGAGAAGTTGGAAATGTGGAATTGCGAGGTTTTTGGTTACTTGAATTTGGAGGTGGAGGAAGCTTTCAAGGATCTTAATGATTTTGATTTTGTTATGGTGAAGGGGTTCGATGGATGTTGAATCTTTTGCCTTCAAGCGTTCTTTAGCTTCTAGTAGAGTTTGGAATGCGACTCATTTTAAGGAGAGTGTTCTTAGACAAAAGGCTAGGTCACTTTGGCTTAAGGAGGGGGATTCCAATTCTCTTTTTTTCCATAAATCCGTTAAGCAACGAACTAGGAGGAATACTTTAGTGGGGTTAAATTCAGAGAGAGGGTGGATCTATGATGTGTTGTTGATCAAAGAGGAGATTATGACTCATTTCGAGAAGAGATTCTCTGAATCTATGTCTTTGCAGCCCAATTTGGATGTTGTCGAGTTTCCACAACTTTCCCATGTTGACTTTGTTAATTTGGAGGTTCCTTTCTCAGAAGATGAAGTCAGGGAAGTGTTGTAACCGATTTTAAATTGAGAGTCGCCACTCTTAATTTTTATCTTTGAGAAGGGAATATAAAGGATAACCCTAATATGGTCAGAGATTCTAAGTTGTTTGACTCATTTTAGATGAAGGGAAGGTCTTAGGCACCCCTCATCTAACTTATTTACAAGGATACTAGGGTTTATAATTACGGCTTAGGAAATAGGGTTTTAATTTTTATTAGGGGAACTCGCCAAGATTTTTAAGTCGTATGCCTACGTATCCTCTTATGAGGAATCAGAGTCCTAATTCGTAGTTCGTAGTTGTTTGGTTAGTGTTTTTTATGGATTGTATAGAATTGCTTTCGAATTATCCTTGAACCTTGTCTGGGTTGAAAATTGAGTGAGCGTAGACGCAATTCGCAGTTAATTTTGAAAGAAATTCTCCTTAATCCTTTTTATGAAAATATCTTGGATTTTGTTATGTTAGTAGAAAAATGTTTTGATCGTTGGTTAGCTATTTTAAGTTTTTGATTTGATTAAAGAGTATGATAAGATACAAAGCGGGGGGAGTATGATAAAGTCTCCTCATCACGTGGCCAGATATTGGCCATGTGTTGCTCGTCATGAAGGATGCAGAGGGAGTATTTGAATTTTGGATGTTTTGATGTTTTGATGTTGAACAGTTAGTTGATAATCCGCTGAGCCAACCAAAAAATATGGTGGATGTGTATCTATCAGTCATGTTATTTATAATATGTTTTAATTCATTTAATTTGAGAAGTTTAGAATTATGTACAAGGTTAGTGTTTATTAATCTAATTAAAATAATTACATAACTAGATTATTTACAAATAAAATTAAACTTAATAATAAGAGTACCTTTTTTGCATTTTTTTATAATTTTTTACAATATTCATAAATAGTCAATTCATTATAATGTAAATAAATCAATTCATACGTTTATTTAAAATAATAAAGATAATAAATAAACAAATAAATAAACAAATGAACTCAAAATCTAATTAAACATTGTCATTTTATATAAAAAAGAAAGAGAGAAATCTAATCCCAAATGTCTCTAGAAGGGTCACGTACAGGCAAGATAGAATTTTACGATACTTTCTCAAATTAAATTAGAAATTAAACAACACTTAATTATAAGAAAGACTAATAATAATAATAATTATAAGAATAATAATTAAAATTAAAATAATAGAAAGAGTAGAAAGGGTATGCAATAGAGGAAGAAAATACATGGTCCCAAAACTTACTACCACATAAAACCCTAATTTTCTTAACTACAAGA